AGGATATTCTATGGGAGGGTTGGTTAACAGGACAAAATGTCATAGTGAGGTTGCGATAAGGACTAAAAACTCTCTGTGTGGGGTTTAGCAAAAAGGAGAGCTGTTTTCAGCTGAGAAAGAGATTGAACCCAGAGAGATGGGTGTGGATAGAACAGAGAGCAGTAGGAAAGGAAATTGAATGAGAGAGTACACCTATTGAAAAGTTTGACTGGGAGCGACTTTAACAAGATGGAATAGGAAGCCTGGACCCTCCTTTACCCCATGGAAACAGCATTCCCTTTGTCAGAAGTCCAGGAAGAGGCTTCTACACCCAACAAGCTGCAATGAAACTAGGAGGGAAAGTGGGGACACACTCTTACCATAAACCGCACCCCAGAGCAGCATAACCGAATAACATCCAGAGCTCCCAGCTTCTCCCTGAGCAGGAAAAGGTCTTACCCCACATGTAACATCCCAGCTTTCCTAGATGCTACCCTAGATACTGGGTTCTATTTCCCCTGTCCCAGAGCAACAATGGGGCCCAGTATATGCCAGTCCTCTGGGGACTACAGAGAACCAAGCTATTATTGGAATAAGCAGAGTTCACCATAGCTCCACCCCGCCCCCTCAGTGCATAATAATTGGACTGTAAAACCCAGTTCTCCCTGTATCTGCACCAGCCATGGTCATAAGATTAATAATAGCCACTCACATGTGGAAACAGCCTACAAGTCCATTGACAGATAACTGGCTTTAAAAATAAAACATGGTATATGCATACAATGGAGTTGTATTTACCCTTAAAAAAGGAAATCTTGCCATATGCAACATAATGGATAAACCCTGAGGGCCTTATGCTAAGTAAAATAAATCAGTCACAGAAGCACACATATTGCATATCCTACTTATATGAAGAGCCTAAAATAGTCAAACTCAGAGAAGCAGAGAATACAATGGTGGTTGATGGAGTGAGGAGGCTATGGGGAATTGCTAATTAACAAGTAAAATTTCACTGATGCAAAGATGAATAAATTATAGAGATTTTCTGTACAATATTGTACCTACAGAAAAAAATACTGTAATATCTAATAAAAAAATCTGTGAAGAGGGCAGATCTCATGTCAAGTATTCATACCACAATAAAATGTTTAAATTTAAAAAACAACATGCAGTGACAACACTCAAAAAAGAAAAGTCATACTGTATGTATACATACAGTGAGTTTTAAGTGAAGTTATAGCTCAATTTCATTTAGAAAAAAACACAGTTAAATTAGTTTGCTGCTTTTTTTTGCGGGGGGTGGGGGCGGGGGGGGGGTGGGGAGGGCTGTTTCCTTGAACTATTTACAAAGCTATTGTTTGGAAACAAAACGTAATTTCTTGGCTTTCTCCTAAGGAGAATCTGGCACACGAAGAGATAAGTAAACACCAGCAGGACAAATTGGCATTGGATACAGCTCCGAAATACTTAAACTTTAAATATTAATAAAATAAAATTTTACCCCCTTAACATGAAAACTCTAGCAAGGAAAAAGAATGGCTACAGACAGGTGGGTTTCAGAGACATATTGCATTTTTCTATACTATAGTCCATAATGTAAAACTTGAATGGATTATAAAAGATGCAGTTGAGTGAGAAAAAGTTAATCCCAATTTCAGATTCTCCCCTCCCCCAAAATAGGAGTCAATGAGATCTAAATGATGGGTGAAAAAAAACAGCCTTAGAAGCAGGAGAGCTCACTCATTCACTCTAGGGAGGAAATGGAATAGAGGGAGATGGCACTATAGGCAGGATCAAATGCCCCCGTGGAAAATTGAGTCAGACAGTTTCCCTGTCCTCCTTAAAAGTGTCAAGCTAACAATCCAGAACAAGTTTCTTGAATAGCTGCCAAAATGTAAGAGTTCTTACATGAACACCTAGAAAATAAAATATACTGCACCATATTTTAAAACAAATCAGAACCTTAAAGGCACCCAGAAACAAATGTGACTAATTTTAAAATCTATTTGCAAAGGTATGATGATATCATATCCAGTACTTACCAAATGATTGGCATGACTGATAACTTCTATCACCTGTATTTTGTTGGCATTCTTTTTCAGGGGGAAAAAGAGGTTCCTTGAATGTGAATTTTCAAGAGTTGAAACTATTTCCCCCTCACAAAATTCATACTTAACCAGAACTACAAATTCTGAATATACTACACATGTAGTATTCCATAAATATTCAATGAGTCATTCAGCAAATATTTATTTAACAAGTGCCTGCCACCGCCAGGCTTTTTTTTTTGTTTTTTTTTTTGTTTTTTTTTTTTTAGGTCCTGGGAAAATACCAGCAAATAAAACACAAAAACACTTACATCCGATGGAGCTCAACCTCTGGTTCATGGAGTAATTGGCCACAGGATAAGAATAAAAAATAAAAAAAAATCCCTAGTTCCCATTCCTTAAAGAATTCTACTCAGTGCAATGGTTTGTATTTGATATGGCCTTTTTAAAAAAAAAACAAAACAAAACAAACAAAACAAACAAACAAACAAACAAACAAACAAACAAACAAAACACACAAAACTATTATCCCAGGGCTAGCCACATTTATGAAAATGTGGTTATTCCAATGTCATGGTAAATATCTTCATTCCTAATGAGTTTGTTTGCTTTGCCTTTTTTCCCATGTGTGGTTGTTTTTCTTGTTTACTGTTTAACTTAATGTTTGAATACAAATTAGAAACAAAATTGAGTCTATTTTATGAAAAGTTGACGTAAGTGAAGCCATTTTAAAATAGACCTAGAATAGCCATTCCAGAGGAAGTTCTTACAAGTCTTGCTCCATGAACCTTTGGAATGGTTGAACTAGGTGAAGTGACCTTAGCACTGGGCCAAGGCAACATTGTCGTATAAAGAATTATTTGTAAAACTAGCAGGAAAGCAGGCATCCCAACCACAAGAACTGTTGATTATGGACATTCTCTCTGAAGATAGAATCAGTAACCAGTCACATATAGCTAAAAAGTAACTCAGTGTGTGAACACCAATGGAAATTCCTTTCCTCTACTCATGCAATTGTTTCTTTTCATTTTCTCACAAAAAGTCCTTTCCTCTGTAATCAGAACACAATTTTGGTTTCTGCTTAAATCAATGCCCCCAAGTTGCACTTTTGTGACCTCAAATAAACAATGGTGCCTCTCACTTTGGCTTCTTATTTTAGGTTAACAAAACAATGTCAATAAAAATCCCAGCATTTTGTGTCTATACATATGCAAGTAGAATAGCTGATTCTAAAATTCATAAGGAAACACAAAGGACCTAAAATGGCCACAGTACGTCTAGAGAACAAAGCTAGAGGACATGCAGGCATTCTGCTATCGTAATTAGAAAGTGTGTTACTGACATAAGGTGCATAGTAATAAACCAGTGGGACAGGATGGAGAAACAAGCAACTGGTTTACAACAAAGATACAACGGCGTTGAAAGACACAATGGCCTTTCAATCAATGTGCTGCTTTTAAAAATGAGTCCTGACCCTATCCCACATCATACACACAAAAAAATTGAAATGGATTACAGAACTGAATGTGAAACTAAAGACAATAAAGCATCTAAGGGGGGAAAAAGCAGATTATCGTCATGACCCTGGAGTAGAGAGTTATTTCTTAAATAAAACACAAAAGCATTAAAAAAGGTTAATAAATCAAATCAGACTCAGACTTCATTAAAAATAAGTGCTTTAGTTCATCAAAAGACACTGTTAAGTAAGTTAAAACGCATACCAAAAATTGGAAAGAGAGCTGTAGTATATATATATATCTGACAAAGAACTCGCTCATGAATGTATAAATAACTTCTACATATCAATAATAAAAAATGGGCAGATTTTTTAAAAGGTGGGAAAACAACTTTAAAAAGTGAGCATTTTGCAAAAAGATTTATAACTAAAAGTCCCATATACTTAAGAAAAGGTGCTCAGAAACATTAATCATCAGGCAAATGCAAATTAAAATCACAATGTGATATCTTATACCCATATCAGATAGCTAAAATTCAAATGATTGCTGATAATATCAAGTTTTGACAAGGATGTGAAGCAACTGGAACTCTCACACATGAATGATGGGGGAGGAGAGCTGGAAAACTACCCATATCTCCTAGAGTTTAATATACTTGTACCCTATGATTCAGAAAATTCATTTCTCAATATATGGGTATGCATACTATCTTCAGTCTGGGTGAGTGTTTCCTATGTATGGTCTTATTTTAGTCATTGATAAAATGTTGAACACAATAAGGCCAAAATGTCACCAGGAAACATCAACCAGGTTGAAGATGTTCTACTAATTACCCAGTTGTTAACTCATCTAGTTTTAATATTGGGACCATATTTCTAAATATTGTCCATAGGGATCATATAAATTATTTTCAAGTGCCTTCACCAATCCAGATTTAATGACTTATAAAAGCCAATGATCTTTAGGTTGTTATTCACTCTTTAAACAAATTTTTATTTCGTGTGTGTATGTGTGTTATGCTGTTCTTTAGTGATTGAGTCAATAAGACCCTGCTCTCAAAGAGCTTTCAATCTAGAGGGGAAACTGTATTTATAGTACAGTATTATAAATATGATAGGCAGTTAGGGTACTATATAGGCACAGATTGTGTTTATCTCAATCAGACTATCAGAATTAGGAAAAGATTCCCAAAGGAGATAACAGGGTTTGAGTTGAGCTTGAGGTCATTAAGAAACAGTCAGATTCAAATGTTAAATGTATGGGTGTGATGCTCTTCAGAAAGTCTGGGCCAGACATAGGTTTAGGAGTCAACAGTAAATAAATGATATTTACAGTCATAGATTTGGACAAGACCACTAAGGTGGGAGTTAACAAAAGACAGGGCACATTGGCAAATTAGTGCATATTCTGATATGAAAGGTTCTGCTGATATGTGTTTCAATAAGCAACCTTAGTTGGATAAAAAAAAATGCAATAACATCTCTCCATATGAGAATATAAGGCATGAAGAACGTACGATGGGCATAGATACTGCTTCTTTTTCCCCTTCCCCTTCTTTGAAGACTTCTCTTTAGAATAGGCTTCTTCAACCCACAAGGAAATTAAAATAAAAAAGGCAATCGCCGGTAAAAACTTCATCGTGAAACGTTAAATTTCAGGAGGTGGATCTACAAGAAAGAACAAGAAAACATTTGCATGTATGAAGCAACTGATTAAGTATATGCCTATTTAAGGAGTAAAATCATTACTAACCAATAGACATTTGTACATCAAAACCTCATTGCTCATTCCTAGGAGGTTATACGTCACTATATATTTTGTGCTGATTTAGCAGTAAAAGTTAATTTAAATAATGGTAGGTAATAATATTGTACTGAAGAATAAAAGATAAGCATGTAATATTTCTGATTCTATAATTACACAAAATTGTAAAATGATATTGACTTGCACAGTAGATTAATCTATGCTTAGTAAGATATCTGGAAGGAAGTTTAACACGGTGTTAAAATGGTTTCTGATGCTATTAAGTTTGAATTAATTTTTGTTTCCTTTTTTCATTTTTAGATTGTTTTAAATTTGCGTGCATTTTTCCATAAACAATAAGACTAATTAAAGGGAAGATAATTTTAAGTATTAAAAATTGACAGAGATAAAAGAAAAAATTATCATCAAAGAGTTTCACCCTCTAAATGCACTGTGTTTTTAGTTATACACACTAATTTGCAAGCTTTTACCCCCCAAAAGGATGTATATGGGATTAAATTTGCTTTCTGGCTTTCCTCCTTGCTTGATACTAATGTTTATGACCCAAAGATGATTTCTGACTGCAGATATTCTAGGTAACATTATATAAAATGAAGTAGCAAGTATAGTTAGACTCTTCCAACTAATCTTCCTAGCCATATTTTAATAACATTTTCCGTGTTGAAATAAGAATTATATTCTTCCCAGTGTCTGATGCATCAACCCCCCCCCCCCAAAAAAAAAAAACCCTTCAACTTCTGCTAACACTGGAATATGTAAACCTCTTCTGCATTCTTCATTTCCAAACCATAAATTGTTTCACCTTCATTGCAGAAGGGGAGACCTATCAGATGCTTCAACATTAACTTAATTCCCACCACACCCTGACAAATGTGCTTCTCCCATGTCATGTTTTTCACCTCCCTTTCTTTCCCCCAATATTATTTCCCCACGTTTATCCGTTGCACCCCCTTACAGCAAGCCAGGTCCCTTCTAATGAAGACAAGAGAGGGTGCTTGTCAGGCCAACAACAAGAGCAGAAAGCTCTCTGTCAACTTACAGCATTGGACGCTCCCTGCCCCCAACCTCCCATGGCACCCACTTCCAGACACCTTTGCCCACAGCAGCAGGTACTTCGCCCCCCACCTTCACGTCCTTCCCCCAGAAAAACCAAGGGCCGTCCTAGCGGTTTGAATGGGCAGAGAGGAATTCAACTCTATGTTCTCCGCCTTCCCCTCCAACCTTGCAAAGGGGACAGCTGCAATGACTGAAGGATCTTCAGCAGCACCACGCCAGGGGCCCTCCCCACCAACGCGCGTTCTCTAATGACCCCGGCCCTCGGCATCCCTCCATCCTCGCCGGTACCCGCGCCCCCGTCCCTTGGCAGCGCTGGCAGCGCTCGCCTCCCCCCCCCCCCCCCCCCCCCGCACGCCGCAGTGCTCCCGTGCCCCCGCCGCCCCAGCCGTGACCCTGGCTTTCCGCAGAGACGCTAATCCCCGTCCCGAGGCCCCCGCCGCCCCCCACCCCCGTCCCCCAAGCCCTTCCTTCCTCAGTGGAACCCGGGACACGTACCCTAGGCGCCCCCGCCTCCAGCCGCCAGGCCAGGACCCGGCGGCACGGGGCCCAGACGGCGCTGGCTGCTGGGGTGCAGCGGGCGCAGAGCGGGCAGCCGCGTCCCGCCGCCCGCGCCACCGCCGAGCTCAGCTGACGCGCCTGCTCCGTGCGGAGCCTGCGCCGTGGCGCGCGCGGCCGGAGACCGCAGCCGCCCTCGGGCCGCAGCGGGGACCGGGGGCCGGGGAGCCTGGGACGGCGGGACGACGGAAGCGGGGAGGTGGGGGCGGGGAGAGGCATCCCGACCCAGCGTGCAGGGACGTCACAACACCCTCTCCTCCAGGCATCCAGGCATCGGAAGGGTTTGGAGCAGAAATACAGCATCCCCCCTCCCCCCCCCCCCCACACACACACCCTTGCTTTAGGGACTCAAGATGTTGAGCGCGGGGGTCGGGTAAGGACAGTGTTGGTACCAAAGGAAAAACAACCCCCTCTCCAGGAGCTGGAGTCATTTAGAGTCATCTTTTGACCGCTAGGAACAGAAAGCAATAGAACAGCAAATGACCTTCCGGAAAAGAAACGGGCAACCTGCAGTTGCTGTGATTTCCTCACTTGCCTAGACCCCCGGCATCTAACCTAATCTCTGAGCTTTATGTCTAATCTCTAAGAGCCTGATCGTTCTAAGCAACCTTAAGTTGATCAACATGACGAAAGCCATATAATCTTGCAGGTACTGTTTCAACATTTGTTACCTAATTAACATGGGCACAGAACTTTATGGTTTCCAAAACAGTTCACTGTGGCATCTCATTCGGCCCTCACAGCATTCATTCTCGGGCAAGTTTTATGTCTTCGTTCCCATTTTGCAGATGAAGAAAACGAAGCTCAGCTGTCTTCAGGGATAGTCTTGAATGGAATGTACCAGAGACTCCAAGTTTGATTTTACACTTCTGAGCCAGATCGGACTTTGGCTTTCTCTAGCAAAGTGTTCCTTGTCCTTACTGTTCACAAAGTGGCCCTTCATTTGGCTATGCAGCTCTTAGATAACAAACAGCTTTCCTATTATCTCTTGACTGTATGCCTAATGGTTGTTTTGTTTGTTTATTTTGTGTTGTTTTTCATTAAGAAAGCATGGGCTCAGGTGAGCATCATTTAGCACTGTGTTCTAGACCTACAGATGTACCCACTAATACATTTTCAAACCATATCATACGAGGAGAAGGGAGCACTGCTTGCATACAGTAATTGCCTGCCTCTTCTCATCAGAAGCAGGAGACATAGATGAATGTTTTGTAGACATGATAGGATAGGGGGAAAAACACACAAAACAAAACATGTAACCAACACTGGGAACACAGTACACAGTTGAGCATTGGATGTTTATCCTCCCGATTTCGTGGCTGACTGAGAACTGGGGCTCATTGCCACTGCCCAGCATCATAACTAATATCATACGGCATATTGCTAGCCCAGAAAAGCTCAAAGCTCAAAATTCAAAGTGCAGTTGCTGCTGAATGCTTATTGCTTTTGCATCATTGTAAAGACGAAAAATCGTAAGTCAAACCATCATAAATGGGAGACTGTCTGTGTAATCATGTTCTACAAGCTTTACAAGATACTCTGCTCCCTAATGTTAGTAACTCAGATTCTAAACCCAAGTGCTCAGGATGATCGACCTGGTCCCCATTGTTATGCTCCCCTCCCAATAACTCTGCCTGTTCCCCCCTTCACTCTGCCTCTTGCTCCCTCTGCTCCAGCCAAATTGCCGCTTCTCTACCATGCCCATGTAGGCAGGAGCCCACCTATTCATTCCAGCTGTTTCCCTCTGCCTCAAATGCCCTCTCTGAGAGCCACATGTTAACTCCCTAACTTCATTTTTTTTTTCTCAGATGTCACCCTCTCAAGAAGATTTAGCAAATATTGTTTAAAAGTTTAAAACTCCCACCATCCAAGGATTTCTGATCCCCTCTTACTTGCATTTTCTTTTTTTTCCATAGCACTTATTATGTCCTAAAATATTAGACAATTTATTCATGTAGTTGTCTTCTCTTTTTCCTGGCTAAAATGTAAGCTGAATTAAAAAGATGTTTTTGTCCATTGATGTTGTTCATGCACCTGGGATAGTGTTGAATAAAGGAGTAAAGTATGGCCTCGTTACTTAATTTCTCTATATTTCATGTTCATGTGTTAGTAAAATGAAAATGACAATACATAATTTACAGGATTGTTCTAAGAACTAAACAGGTTAATTCATGTTAAATGTCTGTTACATAGAATAGGGACCATAAATAATTACCTTTCTTCTTTTTATTGTTTCCTATTTGCTTAATGAAATTATAGATTTTTAATTAATAGGATCCTGGTGTACATTTCTGCTTTTTTTGTTCCTTTATTTACATCTGCAACTGGAAACATTTTATAGGCCTATCTCAAGACATTCAATTGGAACCCTATTTTCTATGCACTTCAGCTTCACATGGTCTATAATATATAAATTTTATTTTACTTGTTCATGAAACTTAAATATTGTCCTAAATATCCTGTTAGATTAAGAAATCAAACATTATAAGAAAAGAGGTTAGTCTCACCAAATCATTTATTCATATGACATAAGTACTTACCACTCTTGGTGCTTACTGTGTATATTCCTATAAAACATTAGTTCTAACTATATAAATTTACTTCTTTCTATTTTCTCTCTATATAAACCATATTTATTCTTTAATTATAGCCTGAATTATAATAGTCATTCACGATATTTTTTTACTGGAACTTCAGTCCATATGCCATTATAGCCATCAAATTTTTTTTTTTTTTTAAAGCATGTTTACCTGTTTGAGATGTGTTTTTGCCCAAATCATCCTCTTTAAAAATAACTCAAAAACAAATAATTGGAATGCAATTATAAATAAAGAGAAGATTACAACTGAGGATGATTAGAGTAATGGGTCAGTTATTTGGCATCTGTTAAGTACTATCCATACATTTTAAAAGACAACAGACCTTATATTGGAAAATGTTAATGAGTAGAGTCTTAATGTATTAGAATAATGCAAATAATATTTTATAACCCTAAATCACTTCCATATGTTTTCAGACACAGCATATTATCCTTAAAATATTCTCTAATATCCTAATTATTTAAAAACAAAATTTTAAACAGTACTAGACACATTTTATTCATTAGTTGTTTGTTGAAATAAATGTCATTATATTATACTTTAAAACCTTCAAGATAGATATTTTATACCCACATTTTAAATGAAAAACCAGAAGTTAAGAAAGAGAATTTAACTTATCCAAGATAATAAGGTTGAAAGAGTAAGAGATTGTTTCATCTTTAATGTCCTATCACAACATGAAGATTCTGGTTCTAGTTACACATGGGTGAGTGAAAACAGATTATATTTTAGACATAGATGTGGCTTGTACAGAATCTGGCTGTAGATTAGGAAATTGAAATCAAAGAAGCTGTTCTAGTACTAGATCCAGGCCCTTACTTCCAACTCCAAGTTGGTCCAAAGATGAACTAATATGTGAATGATGTTTCACTTAATTTTTTTTCTGTTCAACATAATAATAATAGCAATAATAATTATTATCATCATTATTGATTAAATGTATACTGTTTCCCAGATACTACAGAAAGCACATTAAATTTATTATCTCATCAACAACTTTATGGGTTCAGTACTATTCTAATTACAATTTAGAGATAAAGATTCAGAGGCATCATATAACTTCTCTAAAGTCACTTTGCTAATACAGTGGGGCCTTGACTTATGAGTTTAATTCGTTCTGAGACCGAGCTCGTTAAGGAGCTCATTAACTCAAATTACTCTATCAACTCAATGCAAAAAATTAGCCGAGAGACAGCTGGTATCTCAAAAAACTCGTTAGTCGGGACACTCGTAAGTCAAGGCCCCACTGTAAATGATGGAGATAACTATGCACCTAAGTTTTTCTGATTCAGGAAGCTGGGCTCTTAAAATATTTCTTTGTGTGATTCTAAATTGCTTATTCAATAATATCTCATGATACCCAGAAATACATTAATATACAACCAAAACCCCACCTTAACTGTGATTATATTATGAGAAGATAAAAGAAGAAACATAAATGAGATCTTCCTATTTGTGAATATGAGCATTGTAGGACACAGTTCAGCACAACCAAAGGCACCCTGTAACATCTGCCAACCCACTCTCAGCCCTTACTCCCATGGGGAGGAACTCTCTGTGATTGGAGGTGTATGGACTCAAAATAGATATAAAAGTTTTAATGTTTTATTCAGAGTATTCACTGCAAAAGCACCTACAAGATATTATACAGCTTTTTGAGAAATTAGACATATGTCCCAAATCTTCAGCAAAAAAAAGGGAGAGAAAACAAATCACCTTTAGGTAAATGACACAGGCTAGTCCAATAACAATTAACTGATTTTTAGCCCAAAACTCTTCACATCCGGATAGATAATACAAATTAACTGCCATCCACAGGTCTGTTTGTGTGAATTATTTATTCTTTTATTTTATAGTTAGCATGTGATTGTCAGCTGTTCATGACTGCTCAAAGCCAAACATTTCCTCTGAAGCAATAATAACAGTTATTGTGGCAGAAGCTGATGACTAGTAACTCAGGGCCATGAATCTTCCAGTCAAACAGAATCTCTTCCAAAAGTATTTGCAGTTTTTACCAAGTCTGAGCAAAATTATAGTCAAAGTTTTTGATAAGCTTTGAACCTGCCGATCAGCTTTGTTGCAGATCTGGGAAGAAGTCATACCTTCCAGCAGCCAGGATTTCTAGGCTAAATGTTCAAGACAACATGTTCTCTTCCTCTGGTGTTCAAAGCAGATATGTAATAGTGGTTTAGAAAGCAATCCAAAAATCTTTCTTTTAAAACCTTGTGAACAATGCCAATGGAGACATTTTTGTTATCTCCTTTTTTTCCCCCCTAAGACCTAGGTAAACAATTAATATTGGAGTAGCCTGTATGGACAATATTAAGAATTCATTCCTCTAGGTTGTCTAATATCAAGCTAGCTAGCTTAACAGAAAGTTCCAAGACTGCAGCTTATGGATTCTAAATCTGTGCCTTTTGGGAAATGTTTCATATTTATCATACCAATAAACTCCATTTATAATTTATGTACATGGCATTTGCGATTACAAATAAAAATTATTATTCTACTTTAGCAATTTTTTTTTTAGAGTGAGCAAGTGGCTGGATAATGGTTCTACCAATATTAAAAATCAGCTGTAGAAATAA